CATACAATTTAAGGAAACACAATTATATTCCAAATCAAATACCAAAGTAAGAAGATTTCATCAAAATAAGGATGAACACTTCAAATAATTCATCACAAATTTTAAGAAAGTAATTTTATGGATTAATTCCGAAAATCTTAGATCTTAATTTTAAGGAAAAGTAATGCCGATTTCCGAAACTAATGCTGTTTTAATCTCACCGGAAGAAAAAAAACGTGATTAGGGAGAAACAAAAGGTCATGTAATGGAAATCTTGAAAATTGATTTTGATTTTCCCAAGTTGAGATTCCGTTTTGCAGTGAAAAAAAACAAAGCCACAAGTGTATTATTGTGGGGACACCATTATTGATCTAAATCGGAAAACAATTCAAACGGAAATTTCACAGTTCATAATATCCGATTACAGTTCAGGGAAAATAAAAGGAATTGATTTATCAACATAATTCTCCGATACCACATGTTGATCAATTCTTAAACATAAAATATAAATTAGGGATTTAATCATGTGTACCTGATAATCCTGTAAACGTAGTTAGGGATGAGGTCATGATTTTCACACAGATTGAGTTCCCGTTTAGGGTGTATTGTTATGCTGGCTAAGGCGAGGAAGACTCACGAGAATAGAGAGACAGAGAGGAGGCGTAAGATTGGTGTGTATTGATCTCTGCCTAATACCTCTATTTATATACACCCAAGGGGAAACCCTAATTAGGTCATAAGGGTAATTACGTCCATCGAATAATTACCAAATAAATATGTAGGGTATTTATTAGGTCAATGATCAATTAATTAGAAAATTAGATAAATGATAACTCAGGCCACATAATAAAAAGCACACAACACATTGTCATCTCTTCCTTGCGTCCCCAGTTCCGATGCCTGGGAGATGTGGCAATTCCATATGCTACTGGGGCTGTTTGGCAACGGAGGCAGTTATTTGTTGCTACACCCACTATTATTGAGTGTGTATTTGTTGATGCTGGTGTTGCTGTTATTGACATAGAAACAAAACACAGAAAAGAAGAGATAAGACTGAAAGAAGCACAAGCACAAGCTGTTATCGAGCATGGGGAGTTAGCGTTGATAACAGTTGACGGCAAGCAAACGGCTGCTAATGAGAGGATTGCATTAAGATCCCCTATGCTACAGGTTGTCCGATTAGCGTCTTTTCAGAATTCACTCTGTACCCCCATTCTTGAGTTTGCCTAAGCAACCCAAGGCTGAAAGTGATGACTCAGGGATGCTTAAAGTTACTGAAGAGAGGAGAGTTAGTGAGGTTTCTGTTGGTGAGGGCGGGGTTGTGGTTGCTGTCACTCGTTTTCCAGCAGAGCAGAAAAGACCAATTGGACCTCTTGTTATCGTTGGTGTTAGGGATGGTGTTTTGTGGCTAGTCGACAGATATATGTCTGCACACGCAATATCCCTCAACCATCCCGGCATTCGTTGACGCTGTCTTGCAGCTTAAGGGGACACTGTCAGTGCTGTGAAATGGGCAATTCTTGGTAGGGAGCATCATGATGACCTAGCACAATTTATGCTTGGGATAGGTTATGCTACTGAAGCACTTCACTTGCCTGGAATATCTAACAAATTGGAGTTTGATTTGGCCATGCTGAGCAACGATTTAAGAAGAGCACTTCAGTGTCTTCTAACAATGAGCAACAGCAGGGATATCAGTCAAGAAGCTCTTTGTTTGGATCTGAGAGATATAATGAGCTTGACAGAAAAGAAGGAAAATATTGTGGAAGCTGTTCAAGGAATTGTAAAATTTGTAAAGGAGTTCATGGACCTTATCAATGCTGCAGATGCCACTGGGCAGTCTAACATTGCTCGTGAAGCTCTTAAAAGATTAGCAGCTGCAGGTGCAGTGAAGGGAGCTTTACAAGGTCAGGAGTTACGAGGGGTCGCTTTGAGGCTAGCTAATCATGGGGAGTTGACAGGACTCGCTGTGTGTATAAAAGTTCTTGTCTTTTTTTGTTATCATGCTGTACTCTCTTTTTCTTGTATACACCACAAAGATAGATGGTGAAATTAAATCATATGTTGGATCATATGGAGGTCCCTAAGAATTCTACTGTAAATCATATCTTATTGAGAATATGATCTTTTGCGGAATTTGGTTAACAACTTGATATCAGTTGGTTCTGGACGAGAAGCAGCATTTGCGGCTTCACTTTAGGGTGACAATGGACTTATGGAGAAAGCATGGCAGGAAACAGGGATGCTTGCGGACGCTGTTCTTCATGCTCATGTATTTTATACCACCCAGCTATTAATGCTTTACTAGCTTCTTTAGCAAAAAATACATTGTTTTTTTGGCTTTGGGGTGTGATGGAATAAAACAAAATGGATCTCTAAACAGTGTGCTCTTCTTTAATTGATGTAGTAGTTAATCAATAAAACTTTCGATGCTGAGCTGGGGTCTCTTTGGAAACAACCTCTCTACTTTCTTGTAGGGGTAAGGTTTGCGTACACACACCATCCTCAGACCCTACTCTTGTGGGATTCAACTGGGTTGTTGTTCTTGTTGTTGTTGTAGCTTCTTTAGCATTGACGTTGGTTTATTAATGGCGTCCCAGATTTAATTTTGTATCTGGACTTTTTGGAGTTGTGAGTGCTAATATAATCAAATCTCGTTGTCCTTAGGCAGACGGGCGACCTTCGTTGAGATCCTTGGTACAATCTTGGAACAAAATGTTGCAAAAAGAACTGGAGTGTATCTCTTCAACAAAAACTGACGCTGCTGCTGCTGCTTTCTTGGCCTCCCTTGAGAAACCCAAGTTGACAAGTTTGGGAGATGCGGCCAAAAAGCCCCCCATTGGAATACTTCAGAAATCAGATACACCAATCTTATTAGAAGGTTCGAAAACACCACCACCGAAACCAACAGATCTTCTGGCTCCGGATGCTCCGCCACAAGAATCTGCACCACAACCACCACCGCCGCCGCTGCAGCAGCAAGGCTCTTCTGGCCCACAACAATCAGAAGAATCAGTTGATGCTGCCCCACAATCAGTTTAACTTGCAACTACATGCAGAAATGAACCAAAAATAAGATTCTGATAATCATCAGGAACTCGCCACCACATTGCCATTGGAGACTTCTGCTCCCGCGACAGCAACTGGACAGAATGTCCCATCAACATCTACTGGTAGTGTTTCGCCCTCAGTTGAGGTTGTGGCCACCCAGCAGACTGATGACAACAAGGTTAGGGCCATTCTAAATGACCTTCAAATGATTGACTTTTCTTGACATGCAACTCAGTGAACTTATTATTGATGGTTTGCATATATGTTTTCATATTGAGTCCAGCACACACCAGTTTAGGGTACAAATTGTGCTTGTACATCCAAGTTGTGCTTCTTCGGCACTCACTAACAGAGAACTATATATAATGGAGTAATATTTTGGCATTCGACGATATAGAAAACTCAAATTTGTACTGTCCAACATTAATATGGATCTCTGATGGAATTTCGTGCAATAGTGGATTAATTGTGAAATATCTTTGATCATATATAGTAGACAATCATTTCTGAAGTTCTCATTTGAAAATTATTCTAATCACATAGACTATGGATTAAACCTATTAAGGGTTATTTTCACAATCGTGGATTTTTGAAAATTGAAGGACTAACCCTACATTGAAAGATTGAAAGAATTTTGTACAATAGTAGATTAATTGTGAAATATCTTCAACCACCATTTCTGAAGTTCTTATTTGAAAGCTATTATAATCACATGGAGTATATATTAAACCTATTTTATAAAAGAAAGGGTGTTAAACCTGTCAAAAGCATGTAAGGTAGTTAGTTCTCCCGGGTGTCCGGGTGGGTGTGTAAGAGCATCCTTAAAAGAGAGGAAATTTTAGTTTGAGAAAAAAATGATGTGACAAAGAGAAAGATGGGGAATGGTTATAGTGCAAATTGTGCAAAGGGGAAAAAAGTAGAGAGAACATAGGAGAGAAAGAAGAGAAGAAATTGTCATAAATAGGACTAAAGCGTATCATTTATTCTCAAAATA